TATGTTTGAACAGTAAAAAAAACCTGGATTGGAGATATTGGCCATCAATCTGGTGAGAATTAAAATAATTTCTCCAAACTGAAGTCATTGAAAGAGTTCATGACTGATTATGAACCGTACTTGAAATGATCTGAAATATCCCTTTAAAGTCTCAGAAGCTGCAGAGAGAACAATTTCTGTTTCTCACTGATGTTTGGTGGAAATGCTGCTGATGTAAAGGGTAGAACTGACGTGTGTCCAACTCTGACAAGTGACAGGACGAGTCTGATCTCCAGAAGCAGTTTGAAGATAAGAACCGCTGCTGTGGGTCTTTAACGATCCGCCCCTGGGGGGCCCAGACTCAGAGCAGTGAAGGTGGACCCTGTCTCAGAAATGCCCCGTTGGTTTGAACTCCATCCACTCATGGAGACGTTGGAGGCTTTCCTGTGGGGGGGGCACGTTGTGTTCCCGTCACGAGGCTCCTCCGTGTCTTGTTTTTCAGCTGCGCTGCAGGAACGGTTGTGCTCGCAGGTAGAAAGCTTCAGCCAAATCATGTGACCTCGTCTGTGTGAAACAGGCTCAGTTTGGTTTACACAGGGGCACCCGCCTCTCCCTAGACCCTAGACTGGAGGGAGATGGGCACCAGCGTCTCCCCCCCCCCCCCCCCAAGGAAAAGAGAAGGGTGTGTCAAAGAGCTGCAGCGCCCTCTACAGGTGGCTGACGGTGTTCTTGTGTTGGACAGTGACCTCGGCTGATTCTTCATCCTGTGAAGGATTCTGAAGCTTCCTCTCTGCCGTCGGCCGTTTGTTTCTCCCCGTACGTTGTTCGGCATCTTTCTCGTTCCGTTTTTTTCCTTCTATTTCCACAAATCATAAATCAAAATGTTCGGCTCTTTCAGAACAATCCTGCTCTGACCTTTGGTGCAACTTTAGTTTTTTAAATATTTAGCCTTTTCTCAGATTTTTTTTTTTCCTCATAGAAAATGAATTGAGCTCATTTTCCATCCGTCAAATCTTTAGAGCTGTTTACAAACGTTTACTGCTTCAGCGACTTTCAGCTGTTTTTTTTTTCAGCTGTTTTGTGCTATTTCAGCTACTATTAGCTAATTCCACATTTATTGCACTCATTTCAACATTTTCCAGCCTAGTCCAGTAAAAATGTGCTCTCTCCACTTCCTAATGGTAATTTAAGTTTCTTTCTTTTTTAGCTACTTTCAGCTTTTCTCAGATAATTTCTACCTTTTTGTGCTCATTTCTGCTTCTTTCAACCTAACTGGTAAAATGTGTTTGTTCTGCTTTCTCCTGCTAATTTAAGCTTGTTCTAACTTTTCAGTTAGCTTTGTAGCATTTTTAGCTAATTTAAGCTGTTTTTAGATCAATTCTGCTACTTTCAGCCTAATTAACTTCTTTCTGGTCATTTCAGCTTGTTATGCTCCTTTCAGCTGTTTTCTGCTCTTTCAACTCATGCCACATTTTTTTAATCTTATTTCAGCTCTTTCCACTTTCTTTCTGCTTATTTAAACAAAATTCAGTAAATATGAGTTTGTTCTGCGAATTTAGGCTTGTTTTCCATTTCATCATGTTTTTAGCTCATTTCAGCTGTTTTTATTTAGCAAGCTCTTCTGCAATAAGCGTTCACGTCGCATTTTTGCAGGAAATGTGATTTCTTTAGCTGATGTTGGAGTAAAACCTGGTCCTTGAACGGCACGGACAAATTAAAAGCTGAATTTTCTCAAAACACAAAACTTCGGTTGGTTCTTTGTCGGAGACACGGGGGGGGGGGGGGGGGGGATTTCTTTGCTTTACAGAAGAATTTCACAGTTCAGTCGAGTTTTATTGGAACAAAACAATAAATACTGACCTAATTTGCTTTATGAATAAAAAACATGTATAATTCAACAAGTAAAAATATGAAGGTATCGAGTTAGAACTGAATCATGTGGGTGGAGGGATAACATAATAATGTAATGAAGTGTTCTTCTCCAGATTAATAAATAATACATTAATATTGCACTGAATGTGCCTCTGACCCCAGCAGGCCTGTCCAGCTCGAGTCGAGCCTCCACCCTCGTTCATGGCAGACCTGTGGGCTGCCTCCAGCTGAAGCTCCCAGGGGGGGTCTGGAAGAGATGGAGCAGCTTCACTGATGAACATAAAACAAGTGTCTGTGCTTCTCTTTCTTTCGTCACACACTTTAAAGGAAGTTGCTCTCAATAGAAACTCGATGACACAAAAATGTTCAGCACCCAGAAGGAAACGTTCTCCACAGCATGTTTGAGATGTTTCTCTGCTCCGACGCACCTGACTTTCATTAGTGGTGATTAACAGACTTCTGCAGAACGTGAGCAGGTGCGTCACCTAAACCTAAAGTCCTGACCTCTGACCCCAAACTTAACCTGGGACCCCTCTCTCTAAACCGAGCCCACTGACTGTCGTCAAACCATAACCCCACCCTGTGACCCTGCACCTAGCCCCGGCCTCTGACAGGAACCCTGGACCCATCGCCCACATAATACTCTCCATACTCGAAACCCTCGGTGGACGGAGGGCGTAGCTGGAGGCCTGGGTTGGGGGTAGGGTTCGTGCAGCGGACCTGGCGCAGTAATGGACTGTGCATGAATCAACTAAAACATGAGGGATGGTGTTCCGCAAGGACCAGTGTTAGGAACCACTGCACTAACCAGCCAGGTCTCCTGATCATCCCATGGTTTAAACACAGGGGAGCCGACCAGTGACCGCTCTGAGCCAATCCACTGAATCCCGAGGTCGGCCGACTTGAAGCCTACGAGGACACGACTGTTTTTCCTACAGAGTCGCTGCTTGCACGCACCTTTTCTCTGTCACTGAGTGCATTTAAAACCTTTACAACAACTTTAATCTTTAAGTTGCTGCTTCAGGTTAAATGTCTCTTTGCTACACTACGAGATGATGAATGTTTGATCCATTATTAATTAAATAGAACTTCTAATGTCTTACTTTACATTGAAGTATTTTAATATTCAGTTACAAGGATCGTTCTTTGGGAACAAGAGACACGTTTTAATGAAGTCCTATCGGACGTCACAGTTGAGCTGGTTCTTGCTCATCGTGGAGCACGAAGACAGAAGAAGCAGAATTGAACGTTTTCTTTTCAAAGACAAAAATAAGCCGTGTGAGTTAACGATCCGGCACGCAGGAAGCTGCTGCTGGAAGGAACTTCAGCTCTCATTCATTACTTTTATGTTTCGTTTATCTTCAGCACTTCCCCTCTTTAAGCTTTGCTAATATTTTTAGGGTCCGAGCCCAAATGTGAACGTTTGTTCCTATTTATAGCCCGGGAGCTGCTTCCTTCAGGTAAACATGAATTTATCAGCAACGTGTCGACGGTGTTCCTCTGAGGCGCCAGCTGTTTGTTGAACTGACCTGCCTGGTGGCGTTGCTATGGGAGACCAGAGCTGCTCCACGCTGGACCAGTGGGCGCCTGTGGAGAGTTGAAACACGGATCACCTGGGAGCCGAGGAGACGCTCGGCTGTGTGAACGGCGTTCTTACGGGTTCCCCGCAGGAGGTGGAAGGGCGGCGGGAGGAGGAGCGGGTAGGACCGGGAGAAGATGAGGGTTGTAGTCGACGAACCTGCAGAGGAACACGTTTCCAAACGCTCAGGGTCATTTGAAATCTCACTAGAGAATATTTCTTGTAAAAATGCAGTGTGAATGCTTATTGCTGAAAAACAGCTGAAATTAGCTAAAAACATGCTGAAATGGAAGAACAAGCCACAGTTGGCAGAAGAAAGAACACATATATGCTGAATTAGGTTTGAAAAAGTGGAAATGAGCACAAAAGTTACAAAATTAGCTAAAAAGAAGCTGAAATTAGAAAAAAAAAGGCGCTGAAAAGTAGATGAAAAGGCAAAAAGAAGCTTAAACTACCAGAATGAAGTGGAAGGAGCTGAAATTCTAGAACTGACCGCTCCAGGTGGCTGCATGTCGGAGCAGCTCTGTCACTTTCATTCTGAGATTTTTCACATTTTTTGGATGATCGTCTCCTCTGGTGTCAGATGTTGAGCAGCTGGAAGGATTTTTACTGAAACTTCTTTACTTTTGGACATTTGCTATGATGCGTAACCATGGCAACAAGGTTGTTTTTTACAAATGGGAGCAGCTGATTAACATCTCAAAAGCTTAAATAATATCTCAGCTACAGCCCCAAATCTCAAATGAGTTGAAAAGGAGGCACCGTAGATGCATTCCCGTCTCCTTGCCGGCTGTGCTCGAGTGCCTGACCACTGACACCGACTAGCAGGAAACATGGCTCATGACAGCAGAAGAACAAGATGGTCCCCCGACACCTGCAGCCGGCTGTCCGCAGAGACAAGAAGCTCGGCAGGCTGCTGGGAGGCGTGGCCATCGCTCTGGGAGGAGTTCTCCCCAGCATTCGGGCGGTCCTGCAGCCCGGGGGAACCGAGAGGCCAGCCAAGTCTGGGTGGATGGATCGGACAACATCTGCGGCTAGTTTCTTCAGATCCACTGAGGGATGGACCTTTACAAGAGATCCTTCCAGTCTACAGCCATCAGCATCTATAACATCTCTTAATGAAACGAGGATAACGAGCTACAACGACACTTAATTTACCTTGGGGATTAATAAAGTATTTTTGAATTGAATTGAATGAGCTAAAGAAAATGTGGATTAAGCTGAGAAAGCTAAATTTAGCACATAAACAGCTAAATAGTAGCTGAAATTGGCAGCATGATGGCTCAGTGGTTAGTACTGTTGCCTCACAGCAAGAAGGTCCAGGGTTCAATCCCCATTTGGACTTGGGGTCTTTCTATGTGGGGTTTGCGTGTTTTTCTCGTGCTTGCGTGGGTTTTCTCCAGGTACTCCGGTTTCTTCCCACAGACCAAAAACATGTTAGTCTCCCTTCAGGTTCTTGACCTGTCTTACAGAAGAGATCTGGGATCTCAGTGTTTGCCTGGTTAAATAAAGGTCAATAAAACAAGATGAAATTAGCAGAGAAAAGTTAATCAGGCTAAAATTAGCAAAGATTACCATGAAAAACTTTAATTTGTTTGAAAACAGCTGAAAGTAGCTAAAAATGCTAAAAAGGTAGCTGGAAATGTAGAACAAGCTTAAATTAACAGAAGAAAGCAGAAAGAGCATGTTGCCCAGTGAAGCTGAATTAGGTTGAAAAAAGTTAAATTAGTGTAAAAAAAATGTGGAATTAGCTGAAAAGGCTAAAATTAGCATAAAAATGGCTAAATAGTAGCTGAAATAGCAGGAATAAGCCAAAACTTGCAGAAATAAACTGAAGGGAGCATAACAAGCTGAAATTAGCAGAAATAGGTTAGAAGACACTTAAAAATGTTTTGGTTAGCAGAAAGAATCTAAAAGGAGCACAAAACAGCTGAAAAACTGCTGAAAGCAGCTGAAGCAGAACAAAAAGTGAAAGGAGCAGTAAAGGTTGTAACAGATCTAAAGATCTGAAGGAGGTCAAATGAGCCGACTCGTTCCTTTTAGTAGCTTCTTGTGCTTTCTCTGGATTTAAGGAAGATCAACCGCAGCTGCTCGAGCTCATAATTAGCTATTTGGGTCGGCTTTTCTTAAATCCATCTCTGAAGAAAACGTCGAGTCAAATCGTTCACGAGCTGGAAATATCTGATGGGCCACTTCCTGTTGTGTAAACAGAAGCTTCAAGTGGAGCTCTGTGACGTTTTACTGCACCGAGCACATTTTGTACGGGAAATATGTCATATTTATATAATTAATAACATCTCGTTGGTGGTTCTCAGGACTAAATAGGAGGACAAACAATTTGTTGCACAGCTGCCGATGACGGTGCGTTTACATCAGCAGGGAGGTAAAAGGGCTCGAGTTCTGAACAAACCTCTGACCTACCTGCGTGAAGCAGAGCCGCCGATGAGCCGACTGGACGCAGGAATCACTGAGATCGGACGTAAACGCATCACCTCTCTGGCCATTTCCTGTTTGCCAGGGAATGAAACGTCACATCTGAACAAGTTCAGGCGTAAAACAGGAGCTTCTTTCTGTTTTCTTACCCTGCGTTCAATAAAAACACTTTTTTCTCCTTTCAAACATCGGGCACTTTAGTCCAGCAGAGAACTATGACTTTGGAAACAACAACGGTCAAGTTCTTGATCCACCTTATTCCTAGGCCCCAAACAGCCTCGTGCGAATTATGGGCGTGCGGAACAGAACCGGCGTTTGTTTATGTGGAACAGTACGAGCTAATGTAGTTTCAACGAGCACTGTAAGTTTAAATTAAACATGTAGGAACACCACCTGTCAGAGCTCAAACAGGACAATATAATCACACCGCTGCTGCTGAGGACGAGGAGTGGAAGACAAGCTGAAGAAGTGGCTGAAGATTACATCTACTAGCATGTTTAGCTACATCTACTAGCATGTTTAGCTACATCTACTAGCATATTTAGCTACATCTACTAGCATGTTTGGCTACATCTACTAGCATCTTTAGCTATACCTAGTTGCATATTTAGCTACATCTACTAGCATGTTTAGCTACATCTACTAGCATGTTTAGCTACATCTACTAGCATGTTTAGCTACACCTACTAGCATGTTTAGCTACACCTACTAGCATATTTAGCTACATCTACTAGCATATTTAGCTACATCTACTAGCATGTTTAGCTACATCTACTAGCATGTTTAGCTACATCTACTAGCATGTTTAGCTACATCTACTAGCATGTTTAGCTACATCTACTAACATATTTAGCTACATCTACTAGCATGTTTAGC